TGGTCCTGGCACCTGTGGCCAGGCTGGGCCAGCAATAGCCCTGCCATGGCGAAGGGCTTCCGTGCCCCATAAGAGGCAAGCTGCCTGGGGCAGGAGTAAGCCTTCCTCCTCCTCCTCCTTCTCCTCTTCCTCCATACCCAGTGAAGGAGGTGGAGTGCGAAGGCACCATCGAGTCGGTGGAGCCCCCCACGGAGCACCACAGCTACGGGCGCAACGAGGGGGCCTGGATGAAGGACCCAGCAGCCAAGGATGACCGCATCTATGTCACCAACTACTACTACGGGAACAGCCTGGTGGAGTTCAGGAGCCTCGACAACTTCAAGCAGGGTGAGGGCTGGCGGCTGAGCGGGCGCCGGGGCCCCGGCTCCTCCTGGGAGGGTGCCCAGCACTGTGCAGCGTCGGCTGTGCCGGGCACTTGGGTGGTGGGCAGATGATGTGGACCTGCACTGGGGAGCACCCATGGAGCAGCGAGGGGGACACAAGTTCCCTGCCACTGCCGGCTCGCTCGGGCTATCATGCGTGGGACCCCAGTGCGTTGCGGGGTCCCAACATCTCTCCCGTCTGCCCACAGGCCGCTGGAGCAATCTCTACAAGCTGCCCTACAACTGGATTGGCACCGGGCATGTGGTGTACCGTGGGGCCTTTTACTACAACCGTGCCTTCACCAAGAACATCATCAAGTATGACCTGAAGGAGCGGTACGTGGCGGGCTGGGCGCTGCTCCATGACGTGGTGTACGAGGACACGACACCCTGGAAGTGGAAGGGCCACTCAGACATCGACTTTGCCGTGGATGAGAGTGGGCTCTGGGTCATCTACCCCTCCGTGGACTACGACTACTCGCAGCAGGAGGTGATCGTCCTGAGCCGCCTTGACCCCGGGGACCTCTCGGTGCGCAGGGAGACCACCTGGAAGACGGGGCTGAAGCGCAACGCCTACGGGAACTGCTTCATCATCTGCGGCATCCTCTACGCCGTGGACACCTACAGCCAGAAGGAAGGGCAGATCTCCTACGCCTTCGATACGCACACGGACACGGAGGCAGAGCTCCGGCTGCCCTTCCTCAACCAGTATGCCTTCACCACGCAGGTCGACTACAACCCCAAGGAGAAGGTGCTCTACGCCTGGGACAACGGCCATCAGATGACGTACGGGCTCCGCTTTGTGGTCTGAGCGCCCGGCGGGGTCCCAGCTGCACCCCCGTGCCCACCCTCCGCCATGCTCAGCCAGGGCTCCCTGTCAGTAGCCTGGCCCCGGCGCCGC